ATAAGATAGTAAAATCCATTTATTGTGATATAAAAACATTATTATTATCGTTCTAAATAAATGACCGCACGCCTATGATACGTCATGAAATTACAAAGGACGCGCCGACCAAAGGTTTTTATGCTATTTCAAGTGACTTCAGATAAACCATACTACCATCACTTTATCCATCTCCCACATATCTTTAATCTCGTCAGTGCAAGGTACTTATTTATCTTTTCAGATTACGCGGATTCTATATTACTGTTAATAATATTAATCATTACTATTATTATTAATCGTCCTCCAGCTAGAATACGTTATTCAATGATTTTGTGTCTTGGGGCCCCCATAAAGGCGCGCCCCTCGGGCCAAGACTCGCAAGCCCATCGGTTGAAGACGGAATATACTGCTACAGTAGGCGTACGAAAAAACTTTATACGCAGAGTTCAAACCTGTGCGGAAGCCACATTCCTGTTGGCTGTCGTTGACGCTGAATCTGTTTGTGTTGTGAATGGCGCCCGAGTGTGAGGCGCCGGCGCTCCATACTTCGTGCGTATGATATACGGCCTCTTAATTACCAGCAGCGTAAACGGTGCGGCAACGCATGCCGACTTGCCGCTAAGAAATCATCCCGACTCATTTGCGGAATGCGATACCACTTGCTAGGCCAAAAAATCGGGAGATTTCGTATGAGGAAATTTTACAGTTTTAGCGACATAAAATTTTTTTGCCGGTATTGTTAGATTATTGCAAAAAATGAAAGAAACCTTGAATACAAATATTTCACTGACAACTCAAAATTAATATTTAACGCACAAACGGAATCGTGGGACGAAATTTTTTAACAAATTCTTTAGACGAAGCTACAAATTTATTAATACACAAAATTCAAAAAGTAATTGAAGTTAGTACTAATAAGGTTAAAATAAGTCACAAGGAAAAAAGCAGAAATGATTGGATGACCAAAGGACTAATAAAATCTGCAAACGAAAAACAAAGACTGTATAAAATCATGAAATATTTACCCACGAAAGGAAATATAGATCATTATAATCAGTATAAAAACAAATTTATAGAACTTTTGAGAAAAGCAAAAAAAAATACTATATAAAACAATTGAATAATAATTCACATGACTCTACACACCTATGGTCCACTGTCAATGATATATTCAATAAGTCATCCTATTCAAAAAACAATATTAATGAAATAAAAACAAAAACAGGACAGAAAACAGACAATATTCAGCAAATATGTGATGAGTTCATAGAATTTTTCACGAATATAGGAGGAAACTTAGCAAATAATATCAAACAAAATGCTGATATTCATCTGCATGAAACAAGACTGAATAATTCATTTGTATTAACTGAAGTAGACTATCAGGATGTTTTCAATGCCATTATGACTCTAAAAAATAAAAAAAGCCCTGGAGTTGACGAAATTAGAGCTGAACATCTAAAGATACTGGCCAAACAAATAACAGAACCACTTGCTTATATCATTAACAAATCCTTCCAATCTGGAGTATTTCCATCAGCTTTCAAGACAGCAATCATCATACCTATCTATAAATCTAATGATAATACGGACGTCACTAACTATCGACCTATTTCACTTATATCAAGTTTAGCTAAAGTTTTTGAGAAATTACTCCTTAATAAAATGATTAATTTTCTTAATAAATTCAAAATTCTAAATTCAAATCAATATGGTTTTATAGCGGGCAAATCTACAACAGATGGGGTATTAAGTATAGTAGATGAAATAACCCAAAATATAGATGGAAAAGTACCATCGATATGCGTATTTGTGGACTTACAAAAAGCGTTTGACACAGTTAACCACAATATATTTTTAGAAATCTTAGAAAGAATAGGTTTTCGTGGAAAGATGTATACTTTAATGGAAAATTATTTATCAAATAGACCGCAATCAGTAAAATTATTAAGCTCGTATAGTAAAGAAATGTTTGTTAAATGTGGTGTTCCACAAGGTACAATTTTGGGTCCTCTGTTATTCAATATTTATTTAAATGATATATTCAAAATTAACAGTACTGGTAAAATAGTCAGTTTTGCAGACGATACTGCTATACTCTATAAAGGTAAGGATTGGAACGACTTAAAAGATATTATCCAAAATGACTTTTGCAAAATTATTCAGTGGTTTAATAACCGAAAATTAACAATTAACTTTACTAAAACTCATTTTTTACCATTTTCATCACTATCTAATCATCTAACAAAAAATAACCACCTTCGGTTTAAGGTAAATGATAAAAATATAAAAATCAATAGAGTTAATGATACAAAATATTTAGGAATTTATCTAGATCCCCACTTGAGATGGGATGTACATATTTCTCACATACTGAAGAAAATTAGATTCATAGCATATAAAATAAAATTTCTAACCGGTATATTAACTGAATATTATCTACGAATAATATATCAAGCTTTAGTCGAGCCACACATAACATATGGTATAGTAGTGTGGGGTGCTGCATGCACGACATACTTTAACGATTTAGATGTACTTCAAAGAAGAATTTTAAAATCAATGTTAGGCAAATCAAAATTATACCCAACTAATGACTTATATAATGATGCACAAGTATATGATACTAAACAAATTTACTTCTTACATACCATCACTCATTATCACAAAACTATTAGTGAACACGACATAATTAAACATAATCATCAAACCAGATATAAATTACGCGCAAAAAATGTTCCTAAACCAAACAAATCCCTAATGAAACGATGTCACCTGTATATAGCTCCAAAATTGTACGAACATTTACCAAATAATTTAAAACAATTACGCAATACATTAGACTTCAAAAAAAAATTAAAAAAATGTATTAACACGATTGAGAGAAATCAAATTAATAAAATAATCTCCAATATTACACAATAAATGCTCTACCATTCTTACCAATAATTTCTTTTTTCTCTCTATTTTAATATATTTTGCAATTCAACATACATATGATCCATGCACAGGCGTTGTCCTCCTATGGATATATTATATTTATTTACTCGTTTCATGTTCCCTGTATTTTAGAGTAAATAAATATTATTATTATTATTATTATTATTATTATTATTATTATTATTATTATTATTATAATGAATTCAAGTTAGCGTCATCATTTGGATAAACGCGTTTTATCGAAAATCATCAAGCCAATGTAAAAAAGGAATTGAAACAATTTTGTAGCGACTTAAATTCTTTATCATTTTGCTCCTATGGAAATTTCTCGTATAGCGAACAACTCTTTCACGCCTTTTTCAGGTATGAATCCGGCACTTTCCCAAAAAACTGTAAATTTGCTGCAGGAATCCTCAGCCACCCCCATCACGTGCAGGTGACGCCTTAACGGGTTATGGCCAGACAACAGTCCCACCAGCAATCTTAGGTTGGCTCTATCCAGAGATAGGCAGAAGCGTCCATCTTTAGCACTGGGCCCTTCAATGAGTTCCCGTGCCTGGCGGAGATGTCTGGAGATACTTCTCCATTTCTGAGAGTGTTGTCTTGCAACCCACGTCTCCATTTTCCTCCTAGCTGGGAGCACAACAATCTCGCACAGTTAAATGCTTCCAAAAACGTGACGTTCGAGGTAGTCCAGAAGCTCGCGATTTATGCACCTCTCCATCACCTGACTTATAATAGAAAGTTAAGCTATGGGCCTGAAGCTGAAAGGGTCGGTCTTAGATCCATTTTGTGGGAAGAGTTGGGCGTGAGCAAATATCCAGTTTTCTGGGAAGGTGCCGGATTCGTAAGATATCTGGAAGAACTGGAGTAAGCTTCGCTGACACCTCGTCAATACAACGGCAGGAATCAAGTCCGAACCAGAAGCTTTATTGATGTCGAGCGACAAGAGCACTCGTCTTACGGTCTTATGCCTGAATGTTATAGCCCGCATAGTGTAGGGAACCCTTTGAATTGACGGCACTTGGGTGTTGGGGGGACGTCCATGGTGGAGTTGGCAGCAAAGATCTTGGCTAGCACTTTCGCCTTGGCCTTTGAGTCGAATACAATAGTTCCATCCCGACACGTAAGTGGTGGAAGGCTACTGTGTGAGAAGTTCTTCTCAATCTGCTTGACCAGCGTCCAGAAAGACCGACTGATATAGCGCTGCGACATTACCCTGTACCTAACTTTTATATCATGCTGGTTTTTGGTATTGCAAACCGCTTCGTTGTATTTGTTTCTGGACTCGACGTCAGCTTGTCTGTTCTCTATAGTGAGGTTCTGTGTGCCTTGATCTTCTGCTGGCGAACAGTGTCACACGATTTGTTAAACCAGCCGTTGGACCCTGGTTTAGGCACTTTCAGTATGTGATGGATGTATTCCTCCATTCCGACGTGGATAATTTCTGTTAGCGAAAAGCAGACAGCCGACGCATCCGCGTCAGTGAAACAGACGTCTCTCCAAGGAAAGCTGGACAGTCTCTGGGACCCTTCCAGTCGGCATGTCCGTAATGTCAAGTTTTGTGGCCTGCTACGGCAGCGGGTTCTGACCGAAACCTAACCTCTACAGCGCAGTGGCCTGAGTTAACCCAGAGGAAACAGGACATAACTGCTGTAAGGGACAGGATGCGTGGTCAGAAAGAGATCCAGCAGACTACTGGCATGTGACGAGACGCGGGGGAAGAAGTAGGGCTCGTCGCCAGGTTAAGGACTGGTGAGCGAATGCTTCAACAGCACGACCTGATGCATCGGTCTTGTTTGAGCCCAACCAAAGCTCATCATCGGCATTGAAATCACCGAGGAGAACTACCTCTGAAGCAAGGTGATTGATGTTCAGGTAGTCGATCTTGACAGCGAGGCATCCAAGTAAGTACACCCAGTTATGGTCCGATAAAGGCAGTAAATAAATTTGTAAACAGTCAACTTGCCGTCTTCACTTTCGTAGGAGTCGATTCTGGTAATAGATGACACTTTGTGCTGTCTTGTCGATGATATCGTGGTTGCAGCTTGAAAGTAGCGATAGATTGAAAAAAACAAAAAGCTCAGAGGATGTATTTAAAACTGCTAATAAATAAGAAATTAAGTATAAAAGTTGATTTTAAAAAAATAAAATTCTACTGAGTATCACTGATGAAGAACTGTGAAAACAAATTCAAAGATCCGATAACTATAATACAGCAATAGAATATAGCTTTAGGCGCTGTCAAACGATCGTCTTTCTTAAGTGAGGCCATCTGCAATAAGCTTGGTAGGAGAAAGATGTACACCAATCCACTTAAAGCTCCGGTGTACCTGAAAATTAATAAGTCTCTGTTACATTCAAGTTCGTTATGTTTTTATTGAGAAAGCAAAGTTAAAGTGTTAGGTGTTAGTGTTTGAAGACCGAGCTCAGACGCTAAGGGATGTATCGTCAGTCGTTCCTACATTGTAGGACGCCTTGTAGCCTCCTGGATTTTCATAGCTTTTTCTCTCGTCCACACAAAGATTTCTAGATTCCTACTCTTCCGAGTCAGCATTAGCGCTCTCCCAGTTATGTTTTCTGTTTCTCTTTAAATGTATATTTGTAACATAACCTCAAAATAGAGCGTCTTCCTAAATGACAGCAAAAACCATGAAAATCAAGGAGGCCTACAATTGTAGGAACAACTGACGATACACAGAGTATAGGATACAAGAGGAAGCAACATTTCCAGAAAAAGTAGGAAATATCTGCAGGTACGTAAGAAATGTGCCATCTCAAGTCTTTCGGCTTCGAAATAGGATCGGATTTGCAGCCAACAAGAGGGGAATAACTATGCAAATTTGTTGAAGGGATAAGACTAAATTTTTCATCGAAAGATTCTTATGAAACAAGATGTCAAGTTGCAGCGATGTCACTCAACCAAAAGGGAGATCATTATTCGGCTCTTCTAGCTGGTCTATTACCAAAAGTGACTCGGACGAAAATAGTCGAAACTGCAATCGGTTAAGAAAAAACTTCTACAACTGTTATTCCATAAAATGCATGGTGTATAAATTCAGTAACCAACTGAATCTCAGTTAACATCCAAATAATGAATACAAAAAATGGAGGCAAGTACTTGGTACTTGTCGTCCTGTTCTTATATAATTCTAAGATTATTGAGACATGATTGTGTTTTTTACAAGGGCTTTGATAACACTCCAGTGGAGGCTGTCAAATTTGAAGAAAACATGCCATGTCTTTCTATAAGGACTTAATTTTGAAATATGTGTCAAATAAATATACTAAGTGACATATACATCCGAACACCCAGTTTAAATGGTTTTATTTTAATAAAAGTTGGTGAATGTATTTATCTTACTGTAAATAACAAGTGAAAAAATGTTCAGCCTTATCAGTTGGACATTCCGGTTTTTATACTGCTTTTTTTTAATTCACTAACGCTCTAAAAATGAATATTTCAGCCGCAGTAAAGAATCAACGTTGGCGGATTTTGGTTCTTGACATCCTTTACGGTCGGTTGCGATGCCTAGAGTACGGAGACCTGTACGATTTCGTCAACTTAGTGAGTTTGATAGGTTCCGTATAGTGGGACTTCGGGAAGCTGGACTTTCTTTTAGGGCAATTGCAGTTAGAGTGCAAAGAAGTGTAGACACTGTGGTTAGGTGTTGTCAGGCATGGCTTCGAGAAGGCCGTACGCAAAGAGCAAGGGGCACTGGACGCCGCCGTAGAACAACAGACCGTGAAGATCGCCGCCTAAGATTATTGGCCTTAAGGGACCATTTCTCCACTGCCAGGTCCATTGCAAATGAATGGTTTGCAGAACACGGAAGACCTATTGGCATGCGAAGTGTTTACCGACGAATGAGAAGTTTTGGCTTGTTTTCATACCGGCCACACTGGGTCCTCCCTTTAACTCGAGAACACCGACGTAATCGCCTTGAGTGGTGCAGACAACAAGGAGGAATCCACAGTTTTTTGTTGAAAGACATGTTCATCACACTGATGGAGTTATGGTTTGGAGTGCTATAGCTTATGGTTCCAGGTCACCTTTAATGAAGATCATCAGAGGTAACATGAACGCGCAGCGTTATATCCACGAAGTTCTAGAACCCCATCTTTTACCCTATCTTGACACCCTGGCAGATCCAACTTTCTAACAAGATAATGCCCGACCACATGTTGCAAGAGTTACAATAGACTTCTTTCAACATAATGATGTCACATTGTTACCATGGCCACCAAGATCTCCCGACTTATCCCCAATTGAGCACGTGTGGGATATGATGGGTAGGAGATTGCTCAATTTACAACGTCCTCCTCAGACTCTAGAAGCACTTCGAGAGGAGTTGGTGGTTGCCTGGACTGAGATACCACAGGAGGACATTTACCATCTGATCAGAAGCATGCCTAGGCGCGTTGGAGAATGCGTAGCACATCAGGGTGCATCCACACATTATTAAAGGTCAAAGGGCTTTAAAGCAGTGCAATCATTTTGAAATTTTTATAATTTACTTATTATGCTTCATTAAGTACTTATACAAAATTTTATTAAAATAAAACCATTTAAACTGGGTGTTCGGATTTATATGTCACTTAGTATATATATATTTATCGACAGCAAATAATCGCAGTCCCTCGTTGTGTCTCTGTGACGTCATTCTGGGCTGACCGAAAAAAAAACAATATTGTGGGTTCGAAATTTATTATTTACATAGAAAACGAACGACTATGAGCTGGGATGTACAGGGTGCGCCATCTATTACTTTTTTCTATTTGAAAAATCAACACGCTTTTTACGAGGTGAAATCGAATTTTTTTGTTGATCAATGAAGGTTGGTTTATGCCATTTATGTATGAAAACTAACATCAGTCATGTGACCACCGCGGCTTCGTTTACAGGCCAACATCCGAACATCAAAATTTTCAATGGCTTTTCCTAGAATAATCGGGTCTATGGCCGCAATTTCAGTCCTAATATTTCGCTTTAGGTCTTGAATTGTCCGGGAACCATTCGCATACACTTTTGCTTTCAAAAATCCCCAAAGAAGATAGTCAAGAGGTGTTAAATCGCACGATCTCGGGGGTCAACTGACATCTGAATTTCGTGAAATTATGCTGTCTTGAAATTTCGTGTGCATTAAGGCGATTGTTTGGCGAGATGTGTGAACCGTTGCTCCGTCTTGATGAAACCAAAGATCGTCGGCACCAATACACTCACACACACCCTCCTACTTTGTGCAGTCCCTCCACCACCCCTGTTCCAGGCAACCTCAAACCCTTGAGGAGTGGGGGGAAGAGCAATCTGCTCCACCCTCCTCTCCCGCCCGAAGGCCTGGCGTGGCGCTGCGTGGTTCAGGCCGCTGCGCATTCCCCGAGTGTGTGCTGCCGAACGAGCTAACCCCCCTCCCCAATTTTGCCCCTTTTTCCCGAAATTTGACTCGATCGCGCACGCGTCGCGGAAGCACGTGGTGGACGTTTCATCCGACTGTCGGTTTTCGACTTTTATGGACGGCCTCTTTCTTGGGGGTCCTGCGCTGGGGGCTTTGACCTAACCCCGCATTAAGGTTGGTGAGCCTTGGCTCTTTCCTCGTCGACTGGAGTCAGTCAGTCAGCCATTTGCTGTTTGTCATTCGTCTCCGGAGGTTAGCCCCGAGTTCGTGCTTGACTCTGGCCACCTCAATCGATAGGCTTCTTTTTGCCCACCCGTTGTACACGGGCTGTTCTTTCCCCTCTTGGATGTACAACTATTGCCGGTCTTCTCCCCTTTTCTTTGGCCTCATCAGCTGCCAGGGCCAAATTTCTTCTTGTTGCAGCTGGCTTTTCGGTCTTTTATGACGCCTTATTGTTCTTGGGTCGTAATCAGCACATTTCGATGTCTTTCGTTCTTTTCAAAGAACTTTCGGGCCCTCTCTCTCATCTGGATTACGACCGGTACCTGTCGTAGTTCGTCATATAGCACTCTGTTAGGTACATACCACGGTGCGTCCACCGCCTCACGGAGTGCTATGTTTTGTTGAGCTTGGAGCCTCTTCTTCATCGCTTTGGAAACGTAGCCCCAAGCTACTGCTGCGTAAGTCTTGATTTGGAGCGGCACCATCTCAATCATGACACTTTGCCTCTTCTGCCTATTAAAGGTCTTAGTCTGGAGCGTGCCATCTCAACTTTCTGCACCTGACCCTCGACATGGTTCTTCCAAGTGAGTTTTTGGTCCGTCTTGACTCCAAGGTATGTGCTGGAGTCCTTCCAGTCGACCTCAACTTCTTCGTCTCTTCTCCAGCCTCTCTCCATTCTGGTGGTCGTCATCTTTATTTTGGTTTGAGGTAATCTTCGATTTCTTCGGAACAGTACCGCTTCGGTCTTCTCAGGGTTGAGACGGAACTTCCACTTGATGCACCATTCCTCTAGGTTGGTAGTCGCTCGTTGCAGATATTCCGTAACCATGCGGGGTCTCGTACTTTCTGCCGCATATGCTGTATCGTCCGCATACACATACAGTTGCGTTTGTGGAGTCTTCGGGATGTCTGAACTGTAGATTGCATACAGCAGGGGTGATAGAACCGCTCCCTGCGGTACTCCTGCCTCCACAGTCCTCGTCGTCGAAGTTGCTTTACCAATCCTAATTCGGAATTTACGGTGCTTCAAATAGGACTTCACAGTTGGATCATCCCCGTTGAGTATCCGAGGTCTACCATCTTGTAGATCAGTCCGTCATGCCAGACAGTGTCGAACGCCTTAGCGGCATCCATGAACACAGCTCCCACGGCACGATTTCGATGCCATCTTGCCCAGCCATAGGACCTGGTGCTCTGCTGAATGATCGGAGTTCTTCAGTTTCGTTCCTCAGTCTTCGTTCGATTACCCTTTCCGCAATAGTGCTCAATGCCGTCAGGCTTATGGGTCTGTAGTTTTGGGGGAACCTTGGGTCTTTCCCAGGTTTTGGTATGTTGATCACTTCGGCTACTTTCCAGTGTTCTGGAAAGTATCGGTGTCACAGTATGGCGTTGACAATGTTGGTAATTGATATTATCGCTTTTCTCGGGAGTCTCTTCAAGACTCTGTTCCCAATTTCGTCTACACCCGGTGCTTTCTTCACCTTGAGTCTTCCGATGATTTCCCTTACCTCGCCTGGAGAGGTCATGTCTTCAATGGCTCTTCCTCCTCTTACAGCTCTCCTCGATCGTCTTATCACCTCGTCGATGAAGTCTTCGTCTTCATCGGGGTGAGTATTGAGAGTACACTGTCTCTGAAGGTTGTCAGCAAAAGCTTCGCCTTCTTTTCGGTTGTGTACACCATCCCCTGTTCGCTGTGTATCGGCACCAATACGATCCAATTGTGGCCACAAAAAGTTTGTTAACATGCCGCGATAACGTTTCCCGTTGACGGTAATGGCCTTTTCTTCGGCATCTTCAAAGAAGAATGGTCCAACGATGTCACCAGCCGATAATCCGCACCAACCAGTCACTTTTTCAGGATGGAGAGGTTGTTCATGATATTGGTGTGGATTTTCAGCCCCCCAGAATCTGCGTTTTTGCTTATTTACGTACCCATTGAGGTGAAAATTAGCATCATCAGAAAAGGGCACTTTGCCCGAAAATCCTTCTTCTCTTTCCAGCATCCACTTAACAAAAACACGCCGCTGTTGATGGTCTACCGGCTTCATTTCTTGTGTTAGTTGGATTTTGTATGGATGGAGGTGTAAAATCCGGCGTGAAGTGGTCTTACTAATTCCCAATTGTTGCGAACGGTGTCTAGTCGAGGTGGTTGGATCTTCTCGCACACTTTCACTCACTGCGGCTATGTTTTCACGAGTACGAGCTGGACGAGCATGTTGGTATGGTCTACGACCTTCAGCTGAACCATTTTCCTCAAAACAATTAACAATCCAACGAATTCCAGGCTCTGTAGGGCGTCCATGTCGGCCAAAACTAGTGCGAAGTTGCGAAAAGTATTTTTTATATTTCGACCGTTTTCGTAATAAGTTTGGATAACCAAAATACATAAACTTATAGGTAAAAAAAGTAATAGATGGCCCACTCAGCACAATTAGTAATAGACATCCACGAAATACGCGCCTAGACGGGGCAAGAGGAAGTATGCATATCTGAGTTCGCTTGCAACTAGAGAGTAGCCTTAAGTATACGGTGATTTTCTAGCATTATCGAGTGATAAATGCATCAAACCAACAAAAAATAATAATATGAACGTAACTGTACCTTATCAATGTTCCAATCCTAGGGAGAAAACAGGCGAACATGATGCATGTCAGTACAACGACAAAATTGATGCACATGATCTTGGTATATCCAAAAGTAGAATCCAGTTTAAATATGCCATTGAGATTCGTCAATATATCCTGCCTCAACATATAAGTTATCAGTGGGAATACAGTGAACAGTTGGAACAGGAGAAGTAGCCTCGATATCAAGGTCAATGTGTCTCGTTTTGAAAAATTGTTTAAGAGATTCTGAAAATAAATGTGTTTCATCAGATACAAATACCTAGATTAGGTTATACTACTACATTTTTTACGATATTTTTTCGTATATTTTAAATAGCCTGATGGTTGTCCAATAGGGACGCAGGAAAGTAAACGTCAATTTGACATAGACGCCATCTTTGTTTTCTGTCACCGATATGTCATTTTGTTAGTTGAATGTTTACCATTGATCGCTATGGAGTCGTATTCGATTGAAGACCGCATTAAAGTTATTCAAGAGCGCTACAAAAATGGTGCAAAAATAAAAAACACGTTTCGCGCGCTTCGTGAACATTTCGGTCGCAACAACCGGCCAAACGAAACAACCATCGGTCGTCTGGTGCGTAAATTCGAGGCAACAGGTTCTGTGGCAAATCTGCCAGGCTCTGGCCGGCCAAGGAGCGTTCGCACACCGGAAAATATTGCTGTTGTGAAGGAGAGTGTGAGAGACGATCCGAAACAATCAACAACGCGTCGATCAAAAGAATTGGGCATTTCGAGAACCAGTTTGCTCCGCATTCTCCACAAGGATTTGAATGTACACGCCTACAAGATCCAATTGACGCAAGAGTTGCGTCGGGCCGACCATTTTTCGCGCCGAACGTTCTCAGATTGGCTCCTTGAACACCGCCAAATTGATGCCAATTTTTCATCAAAAATCATGTTCAGCGACGAAGCGCATTTCACTTTGAATGGGACGGTAAACAAGCAAAACTGCCGCATCTGGGCGAACGAAAATCCCCGTGAGTATCAAGAGCAGCCGATGCATCCTCAAAAAGTGACTGTGTGGTGTGCATTGTGGTCAAAAGGCATCATCGGACCTTACTTTTTCGAAAATGCCGTTACCGTCAATTCTGAGTGATATCCCGTGATGATAGAGGACTATTTTTTGCCGCAACTTGAAGGAATGGATATGGACGATGTTTATTTCCAACAAGACGGTGCAACATGCCACACAACCAACGTCAATATCCATCGATTGCAGTCCTTCTTCGGTGATCGCGTGATTTCGCGCAGAGGAAATGTACCATGGCCACCAAGATCGTGCGATTTGACTCCCTTGGACTTCTTTTTATGGGGATATTTGAAAAGCAAAGTCTACGTCAACAAACCAGCCACCCTCCAAGTACTCAAAAACAACATCATTGCCGAGATAAATGCCATAGAACCGACCATGTTGCAAAATGTCATCCAGTCGTGGTGAACATTTGAGCGATATTATTTTTCATACATAAATGGTATAAATGAACCTTCAAAATAAAGTACCCAATTTGATTTGAATATCAATCTTTCTGGTTTTAATATGCGTTTACTTTCCTGCATTTTGGACAACCCCATATATTACGTTACATTGAACATTTTGAATTATATTTCTATGATTTTCAAATATACTGAGTGACATTAGAAGAGCTATACCCATAAAAAATAATTTCTTCAACTTGTTTTTTTTTGGTAACATAATGACTATATTTAAAGCATTGCTGTGGCGACAATGTCAACGTTTTATCTTTGTTTCTATTTACCTTTGTTGAAACGTTATCTCTTAGTTTTTGTGAAGAGAGTAGTTTCTGAGAGCTTATTTTTTCTGGGTGTAACACTTTTAATGGTCTGAGTATATTTCATCTATTTTCAATAGGTCTAATATACCGAGAGACGGAAAAAAACGAATTTCCCCAAAATCGTTTTAATTTCTTCTTGACCTTATTTGTACTGTGATTTCACCATACTTTTTGAATTCTTATAATTTTCTTTCGAACAACAAATTCAATGCCAACTAAGAAGATACATCACATGAATTTAGGATAATATAGCGTCCATATGAAATAACGAAGTTGGTGACTACACCATATTGTAAGAAAAAATGGCAATAACAACATGCAATCTATTTCGTAGTTCGATTTCAAATAGTCAGGAAAAAATAAAATGGTTTGGCGTAAATGTTGTACAAATATAAAACAAATGACTAATAATTTCAAGGCCTACCTAGAGATTTAAAATTTCCGGAAAAAATGAAATTTGTTATATACAAGATATAAGTATTCTGGTTACTATTTTTCCATTAATATAAATCGAACAGAAATAATTTGAATCAAAACCGCAAGCTACGGCTCTGAAGGATTAGTTCTTGGTAAATACCCGTCGATTTTCGGTGAATCCCCGACCACTACAGCTTTCGGTTAATTCCCGATCACGCACAGCGACACGGCATTTCGGTAAATCCCCGTATTCCTGAATTGTTCAGTTGAGAATGAGATTCTTCAATATTGACACGTCTTGTTTATTTTAAAGCACGCATTTTAATTTAGCCTTATCATAAGCGCAGTAAATGAATAATACAATGTGAAATTTTGCTGTAATAATTGAGTGTGTTTGTTCTGAAGATTGTTAGTGTTGTTGAACCAAGTGTTTGTTTTGGTTTCTGGTAAGTGAATATTTTATTAAATTTGGAATAGCTTTAAGTGTTTTGAAGGTGGGATTTCAGTTTCCTTGCATATTTTCCTTACTTTTCTTTATTACTAATATCAAGATTCAGTAATAATAATTATTATCTGTATACTCTTAAATTACAGGAATATGATCAATTGAAAAATATTTAAATTTTCCCGTTTTTTCCAATTGTTTCCATGGTCTGGAAAAAACGGAAAAAACGTGTTTTTTTCCTAATTTTTCCCGTTTTTTCCGATATGTTAAATCTCTAGGCCTACCTAGGAAATTCTGTTTCTTTTTGAAATAACTAACTGGCAATGTCGATGTGCGACATACTATATATTTTTGGAATCAGAATTAAACATGGTATGACTATACTTTAGCGCATATCGCAAATACTTCATTTCTTACTTTAAAATGAAAGACTAGGATGTAACTTTTACGAAAATATCATTTTTTCTTTAAGGAACCCTCTGCTCAAATGACATATCAAAATACATACGTAAATGAAGGTTTTTACTTAGTAAACTGGGTAGAGGTGTTATTTTATAATTTTTCAATGTCTTCTTGAAACTCCTTAACCATTTTTTTCGCGTATTTTCAATGAGATCAAAGTTTTTGCGTTAATAAGAAATATTTGAAAGCAAAAACAATTCTGAACGGCCATTTTATAACGCTCATTTCTTGACAGATAAAATAAATGATGTCCATTGTTGCCAAGTTGTACCTTTTTTGGGAGAAATGTGCAATTAGAAATGATGTTATTTTCAAAATAAAAGTCTTAATTTATTGTAAATGGCTTGTTTTATGAAAAGTTGTCCCAATATTTACCGAAAAATAGATGAAATTTTGAACAGTATGTGTCTAATCAGTGTTAAATGCACCAGCGGCTCGCGGGACATAAAAAATCAGCGTCACTTTAAATAATCCTTCAAGCACATACCTACAGTAAATAGATTATAACTATAATATAGGAAAAACAATAACCGAAGTGTGTTAAGGGCATAAGGCATTCTTCAAAAAAGTCGCATTAGCTAACGCTCTCTTAGGGCACAAGGTGGATTTGTTACAGTAATACCTGCCGGCCACACCTCCAAATCGCATTTTCATGACAAGCTTGTGCCGATTGCAAATTTTTGCGCTAGTATACAGGGTGTCCCAGAAGTCGACGTCAAGCCGAAACCGGGTGATAGGCAAAGTCATAACAGCTATCAGAAAAATATTTAAAAAAATTTTATGCATGTGTTTTGAAAATTATAGGTCTTTGAAAAAAATATAGAAATTTCACACCCTACGGCAGTCTGTCAACTCCTGTTACTACAAATATTAACTTTTTTTGGATTTTATTGTTACAATCTAATGATGAATAATGCATCTTCAAACTGATGTATCAACCTTACTGCCAACTTTTCTCGTTCAGGAAAAATTGCCACTTATTTCCCAACCAAGTATTCCAAAGTAAAACTTTGCTCAACTTTAACTGGCTGTACTGGAAAAAATATACTACGAGAGTTTGGCAAGTAACCTTAAAAGTTGGCGCATTTAGTAAGGATTCCAAAATGGTATAACACTTAGAAGATTACTCGTTAACTTATGCACAATTTTTATTTGAAGAAAAACTGATGAAAATTTTTCAAAATTTCCTAATCAAACAGCGGTTATGAAAACTTAAGGATAACTGTTTGCACAACAGTGCTGTAGCACTAGCGTTGCATCTGCATTGCCCATAAATGAGGTGCATGTTAACATATTCTTGTACGGTGTACACGGACATAGCGGCACTGCACAATCACACTATCAAAGATAGTCTAAGGAAAGCAAATGTTGTTTTGAAGAGCAATTAAACAGTCCAAATCTAAATCACAAGCGATCAACAGTCCAGTTCACGAATCCGAAATTAGTAACAGTACGAAATCAACAAGCACGAACATGTAAAGATGCGCAGTAAACGAAGGAGTACTGATCGGTATCAAAGTGTGCAATAGCAAGTAAGTGATGTGCTTCATCCATACCACATACAGCATGTTCAACCTCTCCTGCCCCGGGATTATGAGCCCCGAGTTGCTTTTTGTCGCACAATGTTAGAAAGACACAGGAAAGATCCACAGTGCTTTGAAAAATTTTATGGTCGGATGAGACTACATTTAAGAAAGATGGGTACATGAACCTGCATAACTTACACGAGTGGCACGTAGCAAACCCACATTTGATGAGAGAAGATAAATCTCAATATCGCTTCAAGATAAACCATTGGACAGGAATTTTAAATGGTAAAATAATCGGTCCGTTTGAGTTCCCAGAGACTTTGATTGCTGAAGTTTATTTGGATTTTTTGAAAAATCATGTACAAAATTTATTGGTGGACGTGCCACTGAGTATTTACAGGGACATGTGGTTTCAGCATGATGGCTGCCCAGCGCACTATGCACTCTCAGTGAGAGAGTATCTCGATCAAAACTTTCAAGGCAGATGGATAAGGCGGTCTGGTACAATACCGTGGCCAGCCCGATCACCTGATTTGAATCCTTTAGATTTTTTTACTGGGGAACTGTAAAAGAAAAAGTGTATTTCAAGCCGATTCAAAATGTAGCTGTGCTACGGCAAAGACGCAGCTGAGTTTGTTAATAACCGTGGATTCGCTCGTTTAATAACCCGATCCTTTTTAAGAAGATGTCGAGAGTGTATTGCGGCTGAAGGAAAACAGTTTGAGCATTTGCTGTAAAGGTAAATCATCATCAGCAGCATTTTGACGTCCACTGTTGTGCAAACAGTTATCCTTAAGGGTCCTTGTGCGTTTTCATAATCGCTGTTTAATTAGGAAATTTTGAAAAATTTTCATCAGTTTTTTTTCAAATAAAAATTGTGCATATGTTAACGAGTAATCTTCTAAGTGTTATACCATTTTGGAATCGTTATTAAATGCGCCAACTTTTAAGGTTACTTGCCAAACTCTCGTAGAACATTTTTTTCCAGTACAGCCAGTTAAAGTTGAGCAAAGTTTTACTTTGGAATACTTGGTTGGGAAATAAGTGGCAATTTTTCCTGAACGAGAAAAGTTGGCAGTAAGGTTGAGACACCAGTTTGAAGATGCATTATTCATCATTACATTGTAAAAATAAAATCCAAAAAAAGTTAATATTTGTAGTAACACGAGTTTACAGACTGCCGTAGGGTGTAAAATTTCTATATTTTCTTCAAAGACCTATAATTTTCAAAACACATACATACAGTTTTTTTAAATATTTTTCTGATAGCTGTTATGACTTTGTCTATCACCCGGTTTCGGCTTGACGTCGACTTCTGGGACACCCTGTATAAGTAAGAATTTGACAAACCAAATTAAGGTATATTACTATCCATCATTTGGCAACATCGCAACTAGATGGAGAGAATATGACAGCGACGGTGGTGTAGTGATGGGAATAATTATCTGAAATAAAAGAAACGTCTACTTAACAATGAACTATTTTCATCATTAAAATATTGTAAAATTGCATTATTGCGATGAACAGTGTCACAGTTATATTCATATAATTTTGAACAATCTCTTGTATAAACAAGAAGAAAACAGATTATAAAGCAGTATTATATACCACAGTAATAGCACCCAAAATGCAACATTGAAGTTCTATAAAATAGCAAACAAAGGTTTCATTAAAGAAAAAACGATATTTTCGTGCAAGTTACATCCTAATCTTTCATTTCAAAATAATAAATGAAATATTTGCGATATGCGCTAAAGTATAGTTCAGGCTTAAAAATTCTATTCACCTGTGCAAAAATCCGATATCGCGACGTCAAGAAAAAATAAAGTTGTTACCGTTTTCGAGGTGCCAGTGCTGTGGGCTGGTATAATAATAATTGGGTAGGAGTCATTTTGATCTATCTAGAATTTTGACAGTATTTCATAATTAATACTTACATCTTCAATGCACGTTTTCGCTAATGGAAACCCAACGTAGAAGACAACACCGATGAAAAGATAAGTGAAGGTTATTAAACTAAAAGCTATCGTCAAATCACGACCCTGAAAAATAGAAAAAGATACAATAACTTGTAAATATGTTCAGTATTTGCTTTCACCGGACTTAGGTGGTCTATCCAACTAAAGGAATGTCAAAAATAATAATTTTATAGCACCTTCTCTAAGGCTCATGGTGTCTCTTATACATCGTTCATCAACTCGACTAGTAGCTAAAAATTATTTGTGGTAGTTCACAATCGTTTTATAACATCAATGAAAAACAGAGAATCTATGTTCGGACAAAATTGAAACATCCATTTGAAATAAATCGGCACGGGTATCACGTATCTTGAAAAGTGACACTAATTTTTGACATTATGCTGTTTTTTTTGACATTATGTAGGTTTTTCTACAAGATATTAACTTAGCACTTAGGCCCGTATCGTCAGTCGACCCTACAATTGTAAGGCGCGTTTATAGCCTTAAACCGGAGATGAACCTAGCACAATTGTTTTGCACAATTTGAATCCGATTTCTAGTAACAACATTGAGACACGGATAATATAAAATATCACAGTAGTTGAAAATCGGCATAACCAAAGATGAACACAGTTTTTTCCTTAGCTTATAATTGAAAATTGCTTTATTGGCATATAGTGATCTCAGTCTCAAGTAGGTTTCCTTCAAAAGATTTTTAACATGACTGGTGAATCTAAGTTTGAAATCGATTACCACGCCAAGAATTTTAACCTCGTCAACCAGGTACAGTCTTTGAGATCCAATTTTAATAGTTAATCGACTTTCAATTTCTTCTCTCTTACGATCCGAACAAAAAAATAACAGGCTGGATTTACCAGGATTTATTGACAGGTTGTGGTTATTCGAGAAGTCATACACTTTTTGAATATCATGGTTTATTGATGTCTGTGCCATTTCCATATCATCAGTATCAAAATAATGGACCAGTTGAGCATCATCCGCAAAAGACTTAGGCAGATCAGCAATATATATCAAAAACAACAAGGGACCCAAAACAGACCCCTGGGGTACTCCAGACGAGATTTCTAGAAAACTAGATTTATTGTTTTCAATTGATACACACTGCGATCGATTTGATATATAATTTCGAAAAAAATTCAATGCAATTGGATCTATGCCATAATACTTCAACTTTGCTATTAACAACTCATGATTTATTTTATCAAATGCCTTGGAATAATCGATTGACATCACTGCTACGCCCATTTTTTTTATCAAGTGCTCTAATAATCTTATCCAGTAAGTTTAAGAGGGAAGTAGTAGTACTGAAAGATTTCCTAAAAGCAGACTGATCAGATGGGATGATATGTTCCTCTGCATAATGCATTAGTTGTATGTGGGCTGCCTTTTCAACTACCTTCGATAAACAAGGCAACAGGCTTATAGGCCTTAGATCAGCAAACTCATCTGGATTTGATTTTTTTGGAACTGGTACCACAATTGCTCGCTTCCACGTTTCAGGGAAATAACCTCTTTCAAGGCAACTATTAACAAGGTGGGTGATGTAGATGAGAGTAACAGGCAGACTGAGCTCAATCATAGACAAGCTCACCCCATCAGTACCTTTTGCATCGGACTTAAAACTAGAAATTATTTCAGCTACTTCATGAGGCTCTAGAAGCCTGAAAGAAAATTTATTAATATGGGGAATATTTTCGTTATAATACCTTAAAACGTGATCAGGAGCATTTGTGGAATCAAAAACTGATATGAAATAATTATTTGCAAGGAACGAGTCTGCAAGATGGTTTGGAATACGTGGCTTATCAGATGTTTGTGCTTTCATATTTTTCAATTCATACCACAATTTTTTCTGATCACGCCCTTTTTCCAAGTGAGCAAGATACGCCATTTTTTCATGTCTAATGCACGATAGTGCAAAGTTTCTAAGTTCCCTAAAAACCTGCAATCTTGCTGGACTTCTGTCTATCTTGTATAAATAATATGCCCTCGTTTTTTGCTTCAGAAGCTGTCTCAACGGATATGACATATGTACTAGCTGTGCCTGTGCCAGACAGGTTATTCAGGGGCGGCTGGCCCTTAAGTTCTGCAGAGCTGCAGAACTGCCAAAACTTTTGTCTTAACAGAAAAAAGCAGTAGCAATTTGATCATTATTTATTTTCCATGTTATCACACAAATGCATGCCCTCGCAAGACACGGCGTCGAGTCTGTTTTGCTGCATTATAATCGATCAATTGTGTACTTGTCATTTTCGTCGCGACCGCAGCGTAACATTATTCATAGGCCACTTGAAAAGGGTCTGTGCACTACTTCGACACAAGCCGCACGCGCTTGTTTTTGTCTCTCTCTACAAAATCAAATGCGCGTTTTAAGCATAAGCATGTGCTGCAATTTATGCAGATCCGTACAGATCTACAGTATATTCAGATAAGAGATAGACCGGATGTAAACAAAAGGTTCGGGTGATTTTCACGCTAACGCCGCCGTCTCGACGTAAAACAGGAGCCCTCATTGGTCAATTCGCAATTAAATACCTATGCCGAGCGGCAGAGCAGTCGTATCAAGGCAGAGTCACATTCAGGTTCAGACGTGTTACGTATGTCGTGTGCATCATTGCAATTTGATATTTCTTTGGACGTTTTCGTTTGTTATCTTATTAAGTTGTTGAGTTTGTCGTTGTTATTGTTATACCTTGTTATTGATTGTTATTGTTATCAACTGCTTGCGCAAAATGCCCAGTAGTACAGATACTGCCGATGAAGTTGTAAACTCCTGTAGTCCACCTAGGAAACGCTCTAAAAAAAGACACCTGAGTGCAGAAATGAAAGAGGTCATTTTGAATATATATAAGTTCGAGCGCGAGGAGAACGAGGCATCAACCATCAAAGAAATTGTTGTGAAGGTTTCTCACAAAGTTGGGGTATGTCGCGCATCAGTGTTTAATGTGTTAAGACAATACAAAAAAAATCACACCTTTTCTGAGCCAATGACCAGTAAACATCGCAAAAGTATTGTTAAATCATTTGGATGAAGCTGATAAGCATGCGATTAGGAGGAAAGTGCATGAATTCTTCTTTAGGAATGAAATACCTACTATAGATAAAGTATTGCAGGAGGTAAATGGAGATACAACGTTGCCAAATTTCAAACGATCAACTTTCCATGCGTTACTGAAGCATTTAAATTTCAAATGGAAAAAACGGGGTCGTAATAGTTTACTACTGGATAGAGAAGAAATTGTGCTATGGAGGAGGGATTATTTAACAAAAATTGGGAAATATAGAAATCAAAACAGGAAGATTTATTACCTTGATGAAACGTGGGTAAACGCAGGACACACTACAAGTAAAGTATGGGTTAATGATTCTGTAACTTCATCCAGGAGGGCCTTTCTAGATGGACTGTCCACCGGATTAAAAAATCCAGCAGGTAAATACGAGTAATAGACAACAATCGGATGTTTTTCAAACCTTGGGAACAAGGTTCTAAACATTAATTCCAGGGGGCAGATAAAACATATTACAAGTAACAAAACTTTTATAACTTTCGATAAAATGCGTGGATGTTTTATTGTCATTTTCATTTGTTAGAACTTTTTTAAGCCATGTTTTTATGTGTTTTCGATATTTCAATAATTTTTTAATATAATCTTAAAATATGTCGAATATTATAAACTTAAAAAAAGTTACTAAGTTTTATATTGTGTACCGTTCCTAATATTTCTAATCATTTTAATTCATACTTTAAGCTTTATAAAGTTATAATTTGTTAATATTAATATTTGCGCGTATTTCAGGTTCCTGATCATTCATTTTTTAAAGGTTTATAAATTAAATTGTGAAGCGCTGAGTAATCATACGACGTTCAATATTCTTTCTTTCAATATGACTAAATAATTCCAATTATAACAATATGATACTCATGTCTCAATGTTTTTTCGCTGAATGTGATGAACACATTTGAAAAAGGTTCGCTTATTGAAATAAATCTACACCAGTTAGTACTTCGATTTCCAGGTAAAGGGAAAAGGCTCATTATCTGCCATATTGGCAGTGAGGATGGATTTGTTGTTGACGGTCTGTGGTGCTTTGAGTCTAAGAAAACTGGAGATTACCACGAGGAAATGAATGGCGAATCGTTTGAACAGTGGTTTTCAAAAATTTTACCGAACTTAGAGGAAAACGCAGTAATTGTGTTGGATAATGCGCCTTATCATTCTCGAAGAATGGAGAAGGTCCCAACAACGGCTTCAAGGAAAGTTGATGTTCCAAATTGGCTCCGCTCGAAAAATATCAACTTTGAAGAAGCAATGCTGAAAGTACAATTATTAAGAATTGTCAAGGATCACAAGGCGGAATATCAAAAACACGCTATTGACGAAATGGCAGCAAGTCAAAATAAAACTGTGCTCCATTTACCTCCATACCATTGCGAGCTCAATCCCATTGAGCTCATATGGGCAGAGGTTAAAAATTATATAGCTAAGCACAATACAACTTTTACATTTTGTGACCTCAAAGGACTTTTCAAAGAAGCACTAGAATTAATAACAGCGCAAAAATGGGAAAACTGTATTAAGCACGTGAAAGACAAAGTTGAAAAGAGAATGTGGGAACTGGACAATATTTTAGAGGAACAAGTCGAGCCATTCATTATTGACGTTGGTGCTTCAGGCAGTAGCGATGATGAAAGCTCATCAAGCTCATCTTTCCAATAAAAGATGTCGTTCATCAAATTCGGTAAGTTATAAGTACATAATTATAAAGCTACTGTATTTTTTAATTAATTATTGACATTTTTGAACCCATCTTGTCAAAACCTATTCAAGAATCTACTTTCTGACAATGTTCAACCATGCACATTTTTTTACGTTTTGAACGTTTTAATTTGGTTACATATTTACCTAGAAATCAAAAAATATACTAATCAATATTCTAAAAGCAATTTTAAGAGATATACGATTATTTTTAATTTAGGCTAATTTAAACGCGATTTTGAGATTATATTCGACTGTATTTCACCAAACATCAGGCGGCATCCGAAGCTGGAAATCGAAGCGAAAATTTTGAAACTCTTATGTATATTTACATCATTATATATTTCTTACCCCACCCCCACATGATCCTATATCCATCACCAATCGTATACACATCGAATTGTGCTAATTTACTACAAAGTTACGCAAAGCAGCATCTACTATCTAAAATATGTACTGCGTGACTCTTAATACGTCCCTGCCGAATGTTACAGCGTTCGATGATCACGTGATCTTGTTTATGTCCGGTCTATCTCTTATCTGAATATACTGTAATGCGAAGTACGATATCTGATTGGCCGGTCGGTGCTCGGTCCTCGGTATTGGGACGTGGCTTAAAATTTGAATGCGAAAAATTTTTTATTAAGTTATTTTGGGTCTTACGTTGAGTGACTAGTGACTCACTGACTGACTGTGGCTGTGTTGAAGGGTATTGCAAGACAATGGATGTGGTTTACAGACTTATCAGCGTGAAACGATTCTGGAAATACACATTTGAAAAAAATTGAGCTGAAGGTGTCAGGTCGACCTATGCCGGACAAGGCGTTAGTCGGGGCAAGGGCTATACGCGGCATTTCAGCAGGGAGATTTACACCAGAAACGACTGGATTTGTGGGTGCAACAGGAAGAATGCCCTTTTCTGCTTTCCTTGCATACTTTTCGGGCGTGACAAAGCTTGGACGGAGGTAGGTGTTACAGATTTAGTGCACCTGAGTGAAAAAATTAAGAAGCATGAAAACTCTAAAACACATCTTCATAATTCGATGGAAATGGCTTTATTGGGGACTGTTAACATCTGAGCTCAGTTAGATTCAGTATATTGAAGAAATACACAATAATGATACCGTTACAAAAAACAGGTACGTTCTATCAAAAATAATTAATTGTATAACATTTTGCGGAGCATTTGAATTAGCGCAACGGGACCGCGACGAAACCGAGAGCTCCCAAAACCCGGGAATATTTCGTGGACTGATTATTTTTTCTGCTGAGATTGATACGACCTTAAGCGAATACATAAAAAATGCTTCAATATTTAAAGGAACTTGGAAAGATATACAAAACGATCTACTGGATTGTATTCTTGAAGTTTAGAAGAAAAATAATTAACAATTTTTGTCTGCGTAAATTTGCGCTTAGCATTGTCTTCCAATGCCTGCGCCCGTAATTTACGAAGAAGTAAAATATCCGTGTATGAAACTTCTTTTCTTTCAGCCCAATCTAAAGCTTGGTTAAAAACTTGTATAGCTTGCGCGTCAGTCACTACACTTCTGACTTCAATGGGATCGTTCTCATCATCCTCACTGTCCATATCCTCCTCCTTATCAGCATCATTCGTCTGCTTATCTTCGTTCCATAAATTAATATCAGCAGGAGTACAAACAATGTTGGGATTCACTGTTTTCAATAAATCAACAACATCCAATGACACACTAATAACATTATCATTATTGGATCGCAAACTTCTCTAATTACGCTTAAGGGGACATCGTCTTCTTCATCATCTTCATTATTGGTACAAAAGAGATTGTTCCAACATTTTTGAATAGTTTGTTGGTTAAGTTCATTCCAGGCCATATGTTAATCTAAAACAGCTTCTCGTAATGCTACTTTTTTTAAAGCCTCAGGTAAGTTTTCTTTGATAAGACAGACGAAAGTAGAAACTTCCTATAGTATAGTTTGGTGAGTGTTATTATATTCTGGTCCAACGGTGTTACGTTGGGCGGCATGTACATGACGAAAATTGACCCATCCCTGCTCCTCAGTTGTTGCTCGGGAGGATGACTTGGTGCATTATTCAATAGTAACAACGCTTTTATTGGAAGCTTCTGTTGTTTTAGGAAACCTTTTACCTACAAATTGAAAACACATCTTCAAATTATGAATAGAGCATTTGTGATAATTGATTGTCATACCTGAGGGACAAAGCACCTGTGGAACCATTTCAGGAATATACTGCTAGTCATCCAAGCTAGTCAAAATCAACAGGGATATTAACATTTTTAAATGAGCGCGGATTGTTTGCTTTCCCAATTACCAGTGGCTTTATTTTGTGTGAACCATTAGCATTAGTGCAGGCTAGAAACGTTATTCGTTGTTTCTCCGGCTTTCTTCCCGGGGCAGATTTTTCAAATGATGCAGCATACGTTTTCTCTGGTAACATTTTTCAATAAAGGCCACTTTCATCTCCGTTGTAAATTTGTTCTATTCTTAAATCTAGCTCGGTAATTATTTTCATCAATTTTTCTTTGAATGGTTGCACTAATTGTGGTTGTGCTGATAATTTTTCACCAGATATAGACAGCAGTCGAATTCCATATCTTGTTTTGAATCGTTGTAGCCCGTTGTTTTAAAAACCACTTATACAGGGAATTTTCCATTTTAGGTGCTTTCGCATTTTTTAAAGTTTTTCTTTTTCCTGCACCTCCAAATGTATTGCACGTTTTGTCGATGTGAGAAATAAAATTGATGACATAATAAATGAAGCCAAAAGTATTTGCACTGAACCCAAAGGCAACAAAAGGAGACGACGTAATAATAGCAGTCACGATCATCGAGTTGCCGCATTAGAAGTATGCGACAATATAGTGAATTCTGCAAATGACAGATTTCAATTCAAAGATCACTTGGTAGCCACATCCCTTTTTTTCCCCGAACACTTTGGAGAATACTGTGGTAAGTTTCCTGGTGACAAGTTGGAAACTACCTGCTTGGCTTATCCCGAATTAGAAAAAAAGTCGTTTAAAGACAGAGTTGTCTGTTATTTATGCTCGGAATGATTGCCGAGATTTACATGGAACTCTGTCTCTTTTGAAATTTTTGATACAAAATGGTTTGGAAAAGAAACAAAAAATCTATTAGAAATTATTGTTGCAACTCCTATGTCAACATCAGAGGGACCGCCTTATAGCGTTGTCGATGCTGTCCACCGAAAACGAATTTATTTCGACCATGGAAAATTTCAACGGGAAGCTGATCGACTGCCAAGAAGGAGCGCAGGATCGAACTGACATATAAAAAATAGGTAAGTTCGGATTTGCAGAACACCTGTTTTATTTTGCCACGAACCGCCAACGTTTATATGTGATCCCTTTTGAAGACAGGTTATGTTCAAAGTTATAAGTTACGATGTTTTATGACGTTTAAGCAATACGTACAGCTTCAAAACGAGTTCACACAACAGCTGGTTCTAAGTTGACATCTTGTAGAAAAACCTACGTTATGTCACAAAAAACCTATAAAATGTAAATAAACAACGACAAAATGTCACTCTTCCAGATACGTAATACTTGTGCCGTTCTCGCGTGGCTCGAACACCGCGCATATCATAGATTGTTACGAACCCATTAGAACTTTTGACCAGAATGCTCCGTGAACTTCGTGCCGCTCCTTTCAAAGATTCTTAGAGCTGAGTTAGCTACAATTTGTATTTTTGCTGAACTTACATTCTTTTCTTGATGTCGGTTGTGCCTCATTATTGTGATGATGATATTATGTATAAAATAACTCATGGACAGCATTCCTGTAAGCGAAGGGAAAGTCGCCTTCAGGGTCCATTCTTCCGACCAACTCTGCATATGAGGACCCCAGGAAAAAGACTTTATGGCTACGAATATCAAAAGGTAGGTAACACTGATCGTACCTGCAAAACAAAAACAAAAATAAATCATATTATATACTAAGTGACATATAAATCCGAACATCCAGTTTAAATGGTTTTATTTTAATAAAATTTTGTATAAGTACTTAATGAAGCATAATAAGTAAATGATAAAAATTTCAAAATGATTGCACTGCTTTAAAGCCCTTTGACCTTTAATAATGTGTGGATGCACCCTGATGTGCTACGCATTCTCCAACGCGCCTAGGCATGCTTCTGATCAGGTGGTCAATGTCCTCCTGTGGTATCTCATTCCAGGCAACCACCAACTCCTCTCGAAGTGCTTCTAGAGTCTGAGGAGGACGTTGCAAATTGAGCAATCTCCTACCCATCATATCCCACACGTGCTCAATTGGGGATAAGTCGGGAGATCTTGGTGGCCATGGTAACAATGTGACATCGTTATGTTGAAAGAAGTCTATTGTGAGTTTTGCAACATGTGGTCGGGCATTATCTTGTTGGAAAGTTGGATCTGCCAGGGTGTCAGGATAGGGTAAAAGATGGGGTTCTAGAACTTCGTGGATATAACGCTGCCGTTCATGTTACCTCTGATGAAGATTAAAGGTGACCTGGAACCAGAAGCTATAGCACCCCAAACCATAACTCCAACAGTGTGATGAACATGTCTTTCAACAAAAAACTGTGGATTCCTCCTTTCACCACGTCGCCTTCTAACCCTGGCACGACCATCGTGCATGCCTAAAATAAATCGAGACTCGTCACTAAAGACAATACTGTTCCATTCCTGATCCCAGAGTGACCGTTGTCTGCACCACTCAAGGCGATTACGTCGGTGTTCTCGAGTTAAAGGGAGGACCCAGTGTAGCCGGTATGAAAACAAGCCAAAACTTCTCATTCGTCGGTAAACACTTCGCATGCCAATAGGTCTTCCGTGTTCTGCAAACCATTCATTTGCAATGGACCTGGTAGTGGAGAAACGGTCCCTTAAGGCCAATAATCTTAGGCGGCGATCTTCACGGTCTGTTGTTCTACGGCGGCGTCCAGTGCCCCTTGCTCTTTGCGTACGGCCTTCTCGAAGCCGTGCCTGACAACACCTAACCACAGTGTCTACACTTCTTTGCACTCTAACTGCAATTGCCCGAAAAGAAAGTCCAGCTTCCCGAAGTCCCACTATACGGCCCCTATCAAACTCACTAAGTTGATGAAATCGTACAGGTCTCCGTACTCTAGGCATCGTAACCGATCGTAAAGGATGTCAAGAACGAAAATCCGCCAACGTTGATTCTTTACTGCGGCTGAAATATTCATTTTTAGAGCGTTAGTGAATTAAAAAAAAAGCAGTATAAAAACCGGAATGTCCAACTGATAAGACTGAAAATTTTTTCACTTGTTATTTACTTTTATTAAAATGAAACCATTTAAACTGGGTGTTCGGATTTATATGTCACTTAGTATAGATACGATGTCACATTAATGGGAACTAACAGAATGCTGCTCAGAAAGTTGCGAGCCAGAAAAAACCAAATTTTCCCAAAATTGTTTTAATTTTCTACTGACTCTGTTTGTAGTCTGATTTTAAAATAAATTGCACATTATCGTTGCCACTTTTTCTCCTCTACAAGATAGCACGATCAGAATTTCGATATGATATTGACATATATGGTCCTCTAGCATCAACTTTATTTTTTCTTAAGGATGCCATATTGAATATTTGCACAGATGAAAAATCTGTCAATGTCTTTAAACGGAAGGTCTCATATCTTGTTGAAAAACAAAATTGATAAAACATACTATAGCGTTTTGGCGATTTGTTGTTGAGTTATACAGGGTGTAAACGTTATCGTAAAAACATGGTAAATTAAAAATCCTCGTGGCTTTTGTACAGGGTCTCCCTTTTTCTCAATACTGCTACTTTTTGTGAAAAGGCAGGTGGTAAAAATAAAGTTTTCATAGCCCCGTTCGTTTCTGGGATACATGGCGAAATTGAAAATATTGCTTCTAAAAAATCGCAGAGCTAAAAATCGGCCTTTACATAGTTTTTCACGTAGAATACAGTGGTGTAGTCAGATTTTTGCTGATATATTTTTTCTCATTTGATTGAAAATTTTATAAGCTTCACAGTAATATGTAATACAAGATACGTATTTTCAATAATTATTATATTATCATAGTATGTATTATAATAATAATTATTATTATTGGAGTATTAATAAATAATAGAATCAAAATACGAGCAAATAATAAAACACAAAAAAATGCTCCAAAGTTCTGGGGATTGACATAGCCATTTTTCACCACCGCCTGAGTAGCTAAGTTAAATTCATTATGTGCATTACTATATTTTACTAGGGCATATCATATACATCACAAAGAACATGTAGCTGACAATAATAATGCTAGCAAAACTTTAAAATATAATAATATTAATAATGAGATCTATTCAACCACCTGTAGATTCATCAAATTGTAACTGTACTAGCAGATTTTTCAAAATGTTGATAATTGTCATTTTCAGGCATCGTAACAAATAAAATATTACGCAGAAAATATAAATTTTCCAATTGATAGCTTTCGACAAGGCTCAGCAAATAACCACGCCATTGTTCTACTAATCACCGAATACTAATACTTATACAATACTTACCAAGAGTGACGTATAGGAACACATCCTGCGAAATTATGAATTTAAGTATTATTATTTAAAATAGTTTGATTTATAGCTAGAAATTACATCCCATAGAAAAAATCGTATATATATATATACAGGGTGACTTCGTAGTTGAGTCATTTATTTTAACAGTGAGTAGATCTGATCAAAAGAAATGTTTTTTTCCTTTACCATTTTTCTGGTAAAATTAAAGTAACAAAGTTATAGCCCTTTGGAAGTTTGAGTACCGCCCTGTCTCAATAATAATATTATGTGCTCGTGTTTGGCGACAACGGATATAATCCGCCGTATCGGTTCATCGCATCGGAAACAAAAAAGCGAAAGAATTTGGAACGATGTTTTTACAATTATTTCATTCATTTGTATACAGTCAGTGTCAGTGAATAGTGGTATCTGTTACGTGGCTCAAACGAAATAAAAAATGGCACATGTTTATGCGGATCGGTTTCCCAATCGAGTGCAACCAACCCCTCGCCTTTGTTAATGTAGTACAACGGGCTCGTGAATCAGGTGACTTAAGACCTCACAGGGGACCTCACGATCAAATACAGGTCCGCACTGAAGTACTTGTCGGGAGGATACTTTATAGGTAAAATTTTATTTTTATTTTTACACACATATTTTGGTTTATCTTCCTTCTACAATCATTATCTGAAAATTAATGACTCAACTTCAAAGTCACCCTGTATATCCATATAGGTGAAAAATTAAAGCTTCCGCTTTTTGTTGGGTACTTCGACAAAATTTAAGCAAAGAGGACTCTTTATACTTTTTTTAATTCTCTCTAGCTTTCAATGGACTTTGCCATCATCATCAGGAGCTGCAATTACAATGATAACTTGAGACGTGGTCATTGTCGTCTAGACCAGTTAGGTGAAAAATTAAAGCTTCCGCCTTTTGTTGGGTACTTCGACAAAATTTAAGCAAAGAGGACTCTTTATACTTTTTTTAATTCTCTCTAGCTTTCAATGGACTTTGCCATCATCATCAGGAGAGTAGTATGTGAGGATGTTGCTAATTGTTGTTTACGTATAGGATGACCAGTAACATGGTGAGAGCTGGATACATGGTACAATGGTCAAAATTATATAAAATATGATAAGACAAGTTAAAAACAGATTAAAAATTATTTAAAAAACTAATGTTTTTTCCCTCATCCTATACGTAAACAACAATTAGCAACATCCTCACATACTACTCTGCTGATGATGATGGCAAGGTCCATTGAAAGCTAGAGAGAATTAAAAAAAGTATAAAGAGTCCTCTTTGCTTAAATTTTGTCGAAGTACCCAACAAAAGGCGGAAGCTTTAATTTTTCACCTATATATATATATATATATATATATATATATCGTATATATACAGGGTGACTTTGAAGTTGAGTCATTAATTTTCAGATAATGATTGTAGAAGGAAGATAAACCAAAATATGTGTGTAAAAATAAAAAAAAATAAAAAAAAAATTTTACCTTGTTTTATAAAGTATCCTCCCGACAAGTATTTCAGTGCGGACCTGTATTTGATCGTGAGGTCCCCTGTGAGGTCTGAAGTCACCTGATTCACGAGCCCGTTGTACTACTATTAACAAAGGCACGAGGGGTTGGTTGCACTCGATTGGGAAACCGATCCGCATAAACATGTGCCATTTTTTATTTCGTTTGAGCCACGCAACAGATACTATTCACACGCGACTGCGATGCGATGAACCGATAAGGTGGATTATATCCGTTGTTGCCAAACACCAGCACATGATGTTATTGAGACAGGGCGGTACTCAAACTTCCAAAGGGCTATAACTTTGTTACTTTAATTTTACCAGAAAAATGGTAAAGGAAAAAACATTTCTTTTGATCAGATCTACTCACTGTTAAAATAAATGACTCAACATCGAAGTCACCCTGTATATATTGTATAAGCGCCCGTTTTTAGCTTTGCGATATGTTAAAGGATAATAAACATACGAGGGGGGTCCCAAAATGCAATATTTTCAATTTCACCCCGAATCTATAAAACGAAGAAATTATTGCAATAATTCACGTTGTACTACTAACAATGTACTTACCTAAACTATTAAACTTAGTGAAGAATGTAGGGCTCTTAAAATTTAATAAAGGAAACATTATCACAGCTAATATCACAGGGACGGTACTGTACAAATCCCAGATGTTATAAAACGTTGAGTTTTCCATAGAAGGATTGAACACGTAGGTGGTATTGAGATTCAGAACGATATTTTTCGGGCACAAGACTGCATTCGTCATTTCTTCTGTCGAATTCCCATGGAAAGCATCTGAAAATCATAAATAATTAAAATGATATCTCCAGTATTACATTCATATAGATACAGAGCAGTAATAACATACAGGGTGGCGTATCGAAAACGAAACAGAAAAACGCTCAGAGCCGTCGATTTTGTTTTCGAGGGGGACACAAGTTTGGCAAAAAATCACGTTAGCACGTGCAGCCCCCTGGACGGGGCTGACACTAACCCTAAAATCTTAAATGGAAAGGGGAATCGAGTGATACCTTATTTTAAAGGTCTTTCAATTCCCTTTATAATGATATAAAATTAATGTACTTCAGTTCAGTAGTCTTGGGATTTTCAATGTTGCGTTTTTTATTGGCGACTGACCCAGTTTCCCGAAATTTAGCTACAAGTTCTAGTGAAGAAAAGCATTTACTTATTAAGTAAAGTCTTTTAGTCAAATTTCTTCTGAAAGTAGTACAAACTAATCTGATGTACCTATTAAAGTCTACTATAAGCTTTAAGTCAATAAATCTTCAAAATTACTGAAATGAAGCTCATGTATTTTACATCATTATAAAGGGAATTGAAAGACCTTTAAAATAAGGTATCACTCGACCCCCCTTTTCATTTAAGATTTTAGGGTTGGTGTTACCCCCGCCCAGGGGGCTGCACGTGTTAACGTGATTTTTTGCCAAACTTGTGTCCCCCTCGAAAACAAAATCGACGGGTCTGAGCGTTTTTCCAAAAAAAAAAAACTGAGCTGCCAGTAAATGCGTCTCTTTCGTTTTCGATGCGCCACCCTGTATAACGGGTGTTTTAAATTCGACACTCACCATTTGGGATCCCGAAAACGTTATAGAAAGTTTCACAATTTCGAATATTTCCGCAGATAAGCGAAAAAAATCGAATAATTTTTTTTCTGGCTTTATTTAAGAAAATTTAACAAAAAGGACATTAGCATTGCTACTTTTTCTCATCTATGAGATGGCAGAAATTCGTCTCTTTCCCTTAAGCGTCAACTATTTTATCATAGACGCCATATTGGATTTTTGCACAATTGAAGAGAGCTTTTAATTTTGATTGGAGAGATGCATAACAAGTCATAGATTGACATTTCCAAGTCTTAGTTATTTAAAGAAACAGAATTGTCTAAGTAGGCCTTGAAATTATCAGATAGCCATTCAGGGAACTACAGTAACAGTAACTATTTTTCGATTTAATTATTGTCATATTGTACAAATCATGACATGGATTGATATTATAAAACTTCAAAGGTATAGAAAAGCAATCTCTCTGTAGTAGGTCTACGAACATCGAGGTGATCCGACACTCTCAATAATGTCATTTTCTCTCCTTTAGGTGCGCCGAAAAAACTCCGAAAACAAAACACTGAGCATGGGCCTTTATGGGGGGGGGGAATCCGATTGGACCTTAGAATTTGCATATTAGGCAAGATTTGCCCCTCCTGGGAGAATTTGGAGGGTAGGCTTACACAAAAGGGTATCTCTTGCCGATGATCGGTCCCTCTGAGAAAAATTTCTGCGGGAGCCCATGCTACCATATTGCTCTTGGCTATTTAGTAGTATAAATTGATTCTTTTAATAAATAATAGCCTTAATAGGATTACACAAATGAGACAAAATTCTGAAGTATTATTAGCCTATCGCTAAGCTTACCATAAACAAAAGAGACGAAGTTATACAGGAAATTCGACATAAGTATCCAGTACACTATATCCGCCCCTATGAGTACTATCATGGAGAAAATCCTAGCCATAACTTCAGCCCATTTTCCCAGTAGGAGTCTACAAAGCTCTGGTACTTCGAAGTTACTACTAATAATGCCTAAAAAATATTTCAATAACCATATGTCATTTACAATAGGTTGCAGTTTTTATAGAGCAGAAAAGAGTAGTACTATCGCATTTGGAGGTTAGAAAAGGATCTAATTTCGACAATTCTTGTGTATTACCCAAAAAACTATGCTAAATTTTAATTATCTATAAGAACGGTGTTTCTATTTTTGAGGTTAACATTACAACCCGTGGGCCATCTTAGGAACTTGCAAAAAATTTAAATTTTTCTCGGTTTCAACGGGCGAAAACTCCAAAACTTAAAGGACCCCAATCAATATAATTGGGTAACGTTCTACTCGAATATCTGCTTTAAGTGGAAGAGTGGATGCGATTAATTTCGCTGAATTTTTAATACTTTACTTGTATCAATTTACTTATACCTTACACCTATGGGTATATAAGGCTAGCGATTATATATATATACTCGTATACAGGGTTATCCAAATTAAGTGTCCACCATTAGTAACTTTGTTATTAGTGAAAATACAAAGTTGTTTGAATTAGCAAACTAGTAGCATTTTTAACGCTGGTAAAAATGAGAAATAAAAAAAACAATTGAGAGTCGTTATTTTGATTTTTTTCAGTAAAATAACATTTTTTTAAATGGAAACCCCTGTATATTATATTTTTTTCTGTTAAAGCATCAAATTTTAAACAAAAAAGTTCATAATGACTTTTCCGCTAAAGTCAAAAATAAAGTCAAAATAACGATAAATATTTTTAATTATTTGCAGTATTATAATATTAAGACGGCTATGAAAACAACATGGCGTTCGCGATTTGACAGCATTAAGATAAGCGACAAATTGTTAAACTGGACATACTCGCAACTAGAACGCTTTGGAAAACAATGATAAAATCAAATAATGTCAAACATTAGTGTAAATACTTGTTTATAAGCTTTATTGTGTCATTAATTTAAAGAAAAATGTTCTCCCATGAAGAAAAGTGTGATATGTTAGAATCCTATTTAGTGTGCAGAAAATCCTCCTTGAGAGCAAGAGAATACTACAGTGAATTATATCCCGCTCGCATTCAACCGTATGTACGACATTTTCTGAGACTTTATCGAAAATTTAGGGGCAACGAAAATGTTTTTGCTAAAACAAGGGCAAAAAAAGAATTCATAATAAGCGAGGCCACGGAAATTGCAGTTATTGGATATTTTGAAGCTTATCGTGAGAATTCAATAGCAGATATTCTCAAGGACTCTCATTTCAGTTATAGTACTGTTCAAAGGATTTTAAAAAAATACAAATTTATTCCGTATAAGTACCGACCAGTTCAAACGCTTTTGGCAGGGGATCCAGAGAGAAGACTTGTTTTTTGCCATTGGTATCTTAGCTTCTGTCGCCAAAATGTAAATAACTTTCGTTACCTTTTATGGACAGATGAATCAAATTTTTCAAATTCTGGAATGTTTAATAGAAAAAACCACCATTATTGGTCAAGAGAAAATCTTTTGTTAGTACATCCAAGAGGCCCACAAGTCCGTTTCAGTTTCAACGTTTGGTGCGGTATAATTGGTTCAAAAATTGATGGCCCGTTCTTTTATGAGGGAACCCTAACTGGTGAAAGATATGTGGAATTTATGTCAGAAATTCTGACTAATTTCTTAGACGAATTGGATCTTATAAGTAATAGTCATGCCATAAGTTCTGTCCCTCGTTTTCAAACAAGTGTAGACCTGTTAATACTTGTCCGATTGTTTACATTGTGGTGTCAGTTGATTAAGCGCTTTTCGGGTAATTACATATACCTCAGTTTGTATTGATCTCTCGAAGCATAACGATGGAGTGGGGCAAGGCAGAGAACCGTATTGCAGTGATAGCTTTACATAAGTGTAATCACAGTGCTAGTCAGATTTTTGAACTCTTACGCGGCCTTCAAATATCGCGTAAATTTGTGTCTAGGACCATTCAGCGGTACAATGAGACGTCCTCTGTTGATGACAGGCCAAGAAGTGGAAGACCTCGTCAAGTAAGGACTCCAGCAGCCATCAAAGCCGTAAAAGCCAGGATTCAAAGGAATCCACTCCGGAAGCAGAAGATCCTATCCAGGGAAATGAAGATTCCTGTCCGGACGATGTCGCGCATCATTAAACAAGACCTAGGGCTAGGGGCTTACCGGAGACGTACGGGCCAGCGACTTACGGCCACCTTGCGACACATCAGGGCGACAAGATCCAAGAAGCTCGTGGAGAGGTACGCAGCTGGGGGATTCCGAAAGATTTTGTTCACGGATGAGAAAATCTTCACCATAGAAGAAAAATTCAACCGACAAAATGACAAAGTGTATGCAAGGAGTTCACAGGAAGCTTCGGAGATCATTCCGAGAGTTGAGAGAGGCCACCACCCTGCGTCAGTCATGGTTTGGTGGGGGGTGTCCTACGAAGGGGTCACTCAGCTCCATTTCTGTAAACAGGGCGTGAAAACAAAAGCGGCAAACTATCAGAGCGACATACTGGATCCTATCGTCAAGCCTTTAAGTGGTACATTGTTTGCCAACCAACACTGGGTCTACCAGCAGGATTCCGCCCCCGCTCACAAGGCTAAGAGTACGCAGCGCTGGCTGGAAAGCAATGTGCCAGAGTTCATTGCTGCGGAAGATTGGCCCTCAGGGAGTCCGGACCTCAATCCTTTAGACTACAAGTTGTGGGACCTGCTAGAGCAGTTGGCCTGCTCCAAAACCCACCGTAATATCGAGTCCCTGAAAGCGGATTTGATCCGATCAGCGGCAGCTATTCCTTTGGAAGCTGTGCGTGCAGTGATAGATGAGTGGCCCGCGAGATTGAAGCAGTGTGTGAAGGCCAAGGGGGGACATTTTGAATAAAACTGTTTGATTATGAATTCTAAAAATGTTGTCGAATAAATAATATCTTTCATATAAATATATCTTATCTTGTTTCATTTTTATCATGAGATTATCATGGGACAGAACTTATGGCACGACTAGACATCATCTGCATTTTCAGCAAGATGGCGCACCTGCCCACAACTCCAGAGGTACTTATCATTTTCTAAGTACTACTTTTAATGATCAGTGGATAGGAACAAATGGCCCAATACAGTGGCCTCCCAGATCACCAGATCTAAACCCACTTGATTACTTCTTGTGGGGTTACTTAAAGAACCAAATTTACAAGCGAAGGTACGATAACCTTGACGCGTTAAAGACTGCAGTTAGGGAAAAGATAACCCAGATAGATGGTAGGACCATTCTTAAGACAGTTCGAGCAGTTGAAAAACGTGCCCAAAAATGTATTGAAGAACAAGGTGGTGTTTTCGAGCATCTTCTTTAAAAAAAATTGTTATTGTATTTTGTAAGATTATAAGTTGATGTTGAAAATAAAGTTTGTCGATACAATTTAATTGTTTCAGATTGGAGGCCATAACTTCAACAATTTGTAACCTAGGAGAAAAGTTATTGTAAGCTTTTTTGTTTAAAATTTGATGCTTTAACAGAAAAAAATATAATATACAGGGGTTTCCATTTAAAAAAATGTTATTTTACTGAAAAAAATCAAAATAACGACTCTCAATTGTTTTTTTTTATTTCTCATTTTTACCAGCGTTAAAAATGCTACTAGTTTGCTAATTCAAACAACTTTGTATTTTCACTAATAACAAAGTTACTAATGGTGGACACTTAATTTGGATAACCCTGTATACAGCTTCTGCCTTTTGTTGGGTACTTCGACAAAATTCAAGCAAAGAGGACTCTTTATAATATATTAATCTCTAGCTTTTAATGGACTTTGCCATCTTCATCAGGAGAGTCGTATGTGAGATTGTTGCTAAACGTTATTAACGTTTAGGTTGAGGGAAACAACCAGTGACCAGGTGAATGCTGGATACATGGTACATTCGTCAAAATTAATATAAACTACACACAGCTGTATGTCAGGAACAAATTAATACGGATTAAAAATATTTAAAATGAAACCACCTGATGCTGCACAAAATGGAGGGCACAGCCTCAACCTAAACGTTAATAACATTTAGCAACAAACTCACATACAGAGATAGAGATTAATAAAGCATAAAGAATCCTCTTTGCTTGAGTTTTGTCGAAGTACCCAACAAAAGGTGGAAGCTTCATTTTTCACCTAACTGGTCTAAACGACAATGACCGCATCTCAAGTTATATATAAATATATATATATATATTATAGAGAGAGAGAGAAAATTATCATGCGGAGAAAGGTATATAACAAAAATGGGAAAATAATGAGCAAAATCCGCAAAAAGTGGAATTCGAGCAGAAAATAGGATAGGTAACCCGAGCGATACGTATTTCTGCTGGTTGGCTCCATCAGGCCTGAAATGAATGCACATATGCAACTACAAAATTAGATACACATGCCCATACATCTGGATATGTGTGTAACCTGAGGAAATGAAGATGGAGAGGAAAAGAAAGACACACGAAGTCCACAACAAGAGACAACCTACACATTGTAGTATAAAATGGCTAGAAGACCTCGAATTTTCAAGGCGACAAATAACCACAACCACGCGGCCAGTTATAGCCACTTGCTGTGGTACTTCAAGCTCATTTCGGGCCTGATGAAGCCAACCAGCAGAAATACGTATCGCTCGGGTTACCTATCCTATTTTCAGCTCGAATTCCACTTTTTGCGGATTTTGCCCATTATTTTCCTATTTTTGTCATATACCTTTCTCCGCATGATAATTTTCTCTTTGTAGATCCTTTGGGCTTGAAGTACCACAGCAAGTGGCTATAACCGGCCGCGTGGTTGTGGTTATTTGTCGCCTTGAAAATGTCAGGTCTTTTAGCCATTTTATACTACAATGTGTAGGTTGTCTCTTGTTGTGGACTTCGTGTGTCTTTCTTTTCCTCTCCATCTTCGTTTCCTCTCCATCTTTGTTTCCTCAGGTTACACCCGTATCCGGATGTATGGGCATGTGTATCTACTTTTTTAGTTGCATATGTGCATTCATTTCGGGCCTGATGAAGCCAACCAGCAGAAATACGTATCGCTCGGGTTACCTATCCTATTTTCTGCTCGAATTCCACTTTTTGCAGATTTTGCCCATTATTTTCCTATTTTTGTCATATACCTTTCTCCGCATGATAACTTTCTCTTTGTAGATCCTTTGAAAGTATATTGTCCAACGGTTTTTGTTCGACAAATACGCATATCGGGGTAGTTTCATCTACTATACTCAATATCCCATTTGCTGTAGATATACCTGCTATAAAACCATATTGATTTGAATTTAAAATTGTGAAATTATTAAGACAGTTAATTATTTTACTAAGGAGCAATTTCTCAAAACTTTTAGCTAATCTTGATAAAAGTGAAATAAGCCGTTAATGACATTCGTATTATCATTCGTTTTACTGATATGCATGACGACTGCTGTCTTGAAAGCTGATGGAAATACTCCGGATCGAAAGGATTTGCTAATAAAAAAGCAAGTGGTTCTGCTATTTGTGTGAAGTGTCGTGGTATGAGGTCAAACATTTTTGTGTTATCTTTAAATGTGTGAATGATAAAAGCGGAACGGGAACCTTACCGTGCTTCTTATTTACGCTCAGCAAAACGTGCGTGGTGTACAAACACAGTCCGCTTATCGCCAGCATGATAATAACGGCGGGAAAAAAGCCGGTTCTTACGACACCCCACGCCATTGCTAATAACGATGAACCCATAGTTGTGTTCCATATCGCAAATCTGAAAAAAAAACGTTCCTAAAATATTCTAAAATCAAGGGACATTTCGCATGTTCCGTAACTTCACTTTGGATTCTTTGAATAATGTCGAAAACGGAGTTTCTTTACACACCGCGCCTGCTATGAGGAGCAAGAAACTTTGATCCGATTTTTCAACTGCCTAAGGTTAATAGCAGGCCAGGATAAAATAGAAACGACTTGACAAAATTCGTTTTTTTTTGTTGTTTCTTCCTGGAAATATTCTGAACTGCCAACCTTTTTTTTATTTCTGGATTTCAAACAAACAGTAAGGCTTTCTTGGGGACATTCAAGGGAGGATTTAACACCGGCTGTTTACAATGAGGTATGAGTTTTCAATGCAGGTTTTTAAATATTTGGAAAGCTTTAGAAAATTTGCATAATTTTTGACATTTTCAAACTGTCAACAACTACTAAAATTTTTAGAAATTTGTCTGACATTAAAAATTGAAAATTCTGAAAATAGTTTGAATTTTGAAATTTTAAAATTTTTCAAACTTAAAATTTTGGAAAGCGGCCGTTCAAGTATTACGTAAGCAGATTTATTAAAATTATTTACCCCCATCCCCCTTGTCAGCAAAAGTAAGCAAAGCTCTTACCCCCTCCCCCCATGCTTACGTAAACATTTGTCAATTAATGTATTGTTTTTTTAATATCATAATTATATCGTTATAATTATAATTTGAAAAATAAGAAAATAGATTTAGGTTAGTCCATAAAACCCGAATCCATTATTCTAAGTTTTCGATGACATTGGATTGCTTCGATTGCTGCTCAGCGTTGTGAGTTTTCTCGCTTTCATCGGATTTTGGAATGTCTACGTCGTTCTCATCGAGCCATTCAACATCATGGTGCTCTAAATTTTAAATAATGCACATCAGTTCATTAGCACGACGAGCAGCGACTCTTACAGGTCTAACTTTCCTATCAGTGTGCGTGTTTACTTTTTTATGGATATTTTCGATGTGACGATTTAGTGACTTGACGGAAGCATGATAAATACCACACGTTTTGCATGTTCGACTTGATAGCCTCAATTTTACTGTCAGAAAAAAATAATCGTAGGGCATTTGCAGGACATCTTTGAGTGAAGCACTTAAGCGTAGAGCTGAATTGACTGGAAGATTAAGAAATTGCCCTCCTTCATTCAAAACCAAGTCATCAACTGTTTGTTTTACTTTTACAGGTGGTGGAAGAAACCTATTGTCTAATAATCTAAATAGGCCACTTCTTGGACGACAGCATTCTGTATTTCTACAATTTACAATTTGAAGTAAGTATTGGCTCTCGCGCACATCTTCTGAATACCATTTAATGTCTGGAAAATCAGGAAGATCTTGTTCACTTGCCCCAGCATATTTTGCAGTAACATTATAGCCATCAATTTCCATTGAACTCCATACTTCAGCTAATACATTTCCTGCAAATTCGAAATTAGATCTTTCTAAATGTTCATCAATTGTAACGCCACGTTCATCCAAATGAGACCCAAAATGGTCATGAGCCAATATTAAACCAGCCAGTTCCCGACTAAGGGGAGCCATTCTGCGCTCTACTCTGTTATACGCACTTCTTCCAGGAGCATTGGTAGCTAAAAACAATGCATGCAAAGTGTTGTATAGCAAACCCTATGACCTTTTGATAACGTGGATTTTCATCTGGCCCTCCATCAACCGTCATGATTACCACTGGTTTTACTAGTCCATGGTCAGTTTTAGCTAATGGTCGAAACTCTTCAAGTACGAGAAGCGTCTCGAAATCCTGAGCATGAGTATTAGCAGCATGAACTGTGATTTCCACTTCGAACAGCGATGTATGTTGGTCCAGAATATCCAACGGCTTGCGGTTGTCCTAGCATATTGGAAGTGATTTTGACAGCAGCATAAACAGATGGTATTAATTTATGACGCTCAGCGATTCGTGATCAGGCAATTTGATTCTATATTCCATGTGAATTAGAAGAGGTGCTTGCTTATTTGCCGCAGTTACGCCAATAGGGACTCGAGCTTTATGATCTTGAAATATGAAAAATACTTGATCTGGTCCAAGTATGGATGCTATGTTCTCTAAATAATGGATTGATGTTTCAGCGAACTTGCTATCTAAGTGGCTCTTGTGGTGATCAGTTTGAGCCCGAATGAGCTTAACAGGGACTGTCGATACATATCTCCGTCCGTCTGCAGAATTAGATTTTCTGGGAATCAAACGAAGATATGTCCTACTGCAACTAATGTCAAATCCTATTTTACGTAATTCTTGTGTGGGTTCATCAAGAGTTTTTATGCTGCGAATTGATTCCGTTCGTCTTCTATCATCTGTTGCACTCCCAAATAAAGCTATATCTGCGATTGTTTTCAATAGTGAATGTTGATTGCTTTCAAGATTAGGACGTCCCACTGAATCCCCCAGAGATAGTCTTTTTTTATTTCTGGATTTTCATGACAAATATCTTCCAACTTTCTTTTCATACCATCCCTGTGTTTCTTCTGGGCAACTGCGTTTTGAACCTTCCTGTTTAAAGACTGTTTTGCTGTTTTTATTTCCTCGCGCAACTTAATGATCTGTTTATCAACTTCAGCACGGCTTGGCATAGTATCTCTGGCAGAATACAAAGCATTCAGATTTTTTTCGAGTAGAGCAATCTTATTTTTCATAGTTTCCTGAGAAGGCTTTGCTCTCTGTTTATCTGTATTTTCATTAATTTCGCATTGCTGTTGTGATTCATTACCGGGTTTTATTTTATCATCTTCCTCTTTTTTAATATTTGAAGCTGACTGTATAATTTGTGTTTTTTCTGCAGGTTTACAGGTTGCCTAAAAATAAAAACTTTCTATGGCTTCTGCTACAGATTTTCTTATTATGTATGGCAATATATATGGTAAATACAAAACCCTATGGCTTTAAATCTAATATGTTTAAACGAGCAATTCGTCCCGGTCACAAAATACAGGGTGTAAGGTTTTCTGTATATATGTATAAAACTAACATCCTGTAGTTTGTGACCAATTGACGGAATCAATCATAAGAAATAAATGTATAATATAATGAATATTACCTCTATACGTTGAGATAGGCCATAATATTTTCTAATCAGTAAAAAGATACTTTTTAGCGATTTCTAATATTTCTAGTACCTAAAATGATTTCGTCACTGACCTTAGAAAAAAAATTTAGTAGATTGGATTTATTCTTAGTCGCCACTTGCAATTCTTCTTCGATTCTCTTAGATACAAAATTTCGCCACACATCGTTAACTAACTTTTGTACATTTTACACTTTCGTACTTGTATGAGATTTTTTAAAACTTTCAGTTTTTGGTATAACTTGGATTTGTCTATGTGAAACGACATCTTATTTAAACATTAAACTTTGGCTAATGGAATTACTGGTAACACAAATGTTAACTTGCTTTACTATGCTTACAATACGTCTACTCGCTATAGTGTCCAAACGAAACAATACACTAATAGAGGAAATTTAGACAAGTTAACACGGCGCGGTAATTCCCCTACTCAGTTCTAAGGCGAGTAGGGGAATTACGGCGGGAATCCCCGAAAATGCGTTTCGTTTTAAAGCAAAGACAATGTGAGGGTTGCCATTCGTGTAAAAAAAGTAAATAACTACCGATAACGTAATCATCATCTAGACTCCCCTACCCCCCATATCATCCAAAATAAGCAAAGCAAAGACCCCCATAGTGCTCACGTAATACTTGAATGGCCCCAAATACTGAAAATTTGGAAAGTTTTCAAAAATTCGAAAATTTTGAAATATTGAAAACATTTTTTTGAAATTTTCAAAATTTTGAGAACTGTAAATTTTGAAAATCTTGTAAATTTTGGAAATTTTGAAAATTTTGAATGTACTGAGGATATTTAAAATTTTGAAGACCTCACAAATTTGGAAAATTTTGAATATATTGAAAATTTTGAATACCTATATTGAAAATTTTTAAATCCAATAACAAGGTCAACTGTTGGAAAAGTTTTGAGAAAATTTTAAATAACAGGACATGTAAAGGATGTTCCTAGATCTGGTCGTCTCACGAACAGCCACTGAAGAAAGTAAGGCTTTGAATATTTTAGTGAGCATAGCGGAAAACCTCCACCTTTCTACTAGAACTCTTGGTGAAGATAACAATACATCTCACATGTCTATGGAACGCATTTTAAAGACGAAAAAATTCCATACAGAGTCACTATGGTTCAAGAGCTATCAGATGATGATTTTGGCAGGCGTTTACAATGTGAGGCGATTTTTTGTAAGAAATAATATTTTCGGATGAGTCAAGTTTTTCTCTGAATCTCTCATTCGCCATAACTGTCGCTACTGGGCCAAGAAAAATCCTCATTGGATACGGGAACATCATACACAGTATTCACAGAGCACTAATGTTTGGGCCTGTATCACAGGTCAAAAGATAATCGGTCCGCTTTTCATGAAATATACACTATTGTTACCTTAAAATATCAAATACACAATTTTAATCAATATTATAATTTCTATCATCTTGATTTTGGTTAAATAAAGCATATTTTTATTAACTCTTCTAAAAAAACTCAATGGAGAAGTGATAGGGAATTATCTTCCATATTGGTCATTGCTTAGGTGAAAAAAACAGTTATTTCAAAAACTATGAGATTGACATCAAAGTATGCTTAATAAAAAGTATTGAGAATTCCTCGCAGTATCGGGTAAGGACGTAAGAAAAGCAAACGTTGCTATCCGTTTCTGAAAAACTGTAGATTTGTAACGTAATTTTAAACCTAGAAATTTTTTCAAAAATTAGATGAGTCATTCGTCATTCGTCACGCGTTCCAAACTTTTATTACAATCTGTACGAGGGTGGTCCCAGAAGTACCCGACCCAACGAAGAAAACACAAAATTTTTGTAAAAAAACGTATTTATTTTTCAACATAATCTGCTTTGAGCTCTAAACACTTTTCCCAGCGATGTTCAATAAGTTCGATACCCTTTTCATA